AGAGTGCTTGCCTATCATCTGTGAGGTTTGATCCTCAGCACCACATGAAAATTAACAAAATAAAGGCTTGCTGTCCATCTACAACTACAAAAATAAAATAAAATTTAAAAGATATTGCTATTTTTAAAAAAAACATACTCAGAAACTAAAACTCAGAGAAGTAAAATGTTTTTCCCAATTTACTATGTAGCCAGCCAACATCAGAGTTGGTATTTTAAAACAAATCTGACTCCCAAAGCATGTTCATATCCCACTGTGTGTCCCAGAACCCGGGGTGGTTGGTTTTGCTCCCCAAATGAGGCTAGAGAAATCAAGAGAGAGAACCAAGGAAATTCTGTTTACAGACCACTTAGCTTCAATATAAGGTAGAAAATGGGATTTCAAAAGAACAAAAGAGGAAAGAACAAGCACATGAACCTTGAGTTGCAGTAAAGAAGGCAAGTGAGAGATTAAAAATAAATCTTTCATGATTTTCTCCCACAGCCAAAAAATAATATTTTTCAATCCTGCTTAACCCAAAATAATCTGAGATATTTAAAGTATTATAACCACTGGTGAGAAACCAGAAAGTTTATTATATTCTTCCACAAGCTAGAACTTCTCAGGAGCAGTAAGTGCATGTGACAAGGGACCAAGTTACCCATATCACAGTGTGTAGCTTTCTGAGGTGTGGAAAAGTCCTATGTCTGCACCTCCAGGGAGTTGGGAGTTCACATGTCACAAACTAGACCAGGAAGTCTACTCTCCATTCTGCCTGGGAATTCAGGATATTTCAGTCCTAATAGGCACTCAGACACAAAGGGAGTCATAAAGCTAGTGAGAAATGTGCACACCATGAAGGGCAATGTTGTACAAATGAAGTTCAGTGTCTTTAGACAACCAGTGGTTAATAGCAGAGTTCCACGTTGGAAAGCTCAAAGTTTCAGAAATCCAACTAATACTCCAAAATAAGTGTATCGTTTCATTTGTAAAGTAGGGCATCGTTACCTAAAGATAACAGCATCTGCAGAAATACTTACTTAGCAACTAAATCACAAGGTCTTCCTTAGAGCTTCCTTTAGGCTAGAAATAGTCCCTGCTTAGCCAGCTGGCCTGAAAAGCTAGTGAAAAACATAAAAACCAAAAGAATTACAGAGCTCATCTTATCCCCTCATCTGCAGCACTTTTTTTTTTTTTTTTTTTTGAGACTGAGGGTTATAAAGCTAATGATGAGGGAAATAAACGCCTAGATTTTCTTCCTTTTTGAAATGTTTTTACATCTGGAAATACCTACGCTTCTAATTAATCCAATGTATTCAGAGATCTGGGTAGAGAACACTTAACATGTCCAGGTTGAATAAATGCACACAGGAATAAGAGGAAAGGAGGAAGGGGATCAGTGGTGAAGGAAGGAATGAATGAATAGAGGAAGGGGAAACATTGATAGGTGTTGGCACTGACTGAGGAAAGTATAGCCACTTGAGGAGACTTGTGCTGAGAAAGGGAACCACAGTTGCAATTTAACTTTAGCTATGTAGAGTTTTAGGTGATAAAGAGGCATTCATAAGAAAACATCTAGCAGCAGTCCGGATGTTAGAGTCTAGCTCTGGATACAAATCAGAGTGGAGAAAGAAATCAGAAGGACCCATCTATCTTTAGAGTTGGGCCTGGCAGCTCCAACATGCTTCCCATGAGTAATTGGTAGGAGTTTATGCTTAGATTTATTTTAAGATGGATATATAGCTTTTTTAACTTTCAAGGGCAAGTTGTAAAGAAGGGGTTTATCACTGTCCAAAAGTTTATAAGGTACATTAAAGGTAAACTTGTTAACATAGCATTTTTTGTCCTCAGATTCCATATCCATGTCATAACTTCTACTAATAATGAGAGAAAGAGAAACAGAAAAAGAAAGAGGAGGGAGTTGGGGAGAAGCATCAGGATTCCATTATTTGCAGTTTCTTACTTCTGGAAAACCAGGAGGCTGACTAAGCAAATACTAGAAAATACTAGTTTTTTTTTTTTTTCTCTTTTCCCTCACCCAGTTTCCCTCACCCAGTTGAATCTTAAGTGGTTACTGAGAAATGTGTTTTTTTAAATTGTACCTAAAATGTGTATTTATTTGCAAATCTGCCCTGGAACACCTGCCTGGTCATGCTCATCTCCAGAAATTATAATTTTAAATTATGTTTTAATAACCAAATGACTTCAGAAGCACAGAAAGGGGCATGTAGAAATTTCACATGATAACACACTTTCTATGAACTGCATTTCAACCAAAGTGTTTCGATTTAAAAGAAAAACTTTCATTGCTAGCAAACTTACTTAAAGACATACACCCATATCTACAAAAACCCATAAATGATTCCACATTTCCTGATAAACAGTGGGCTTTCTTGAAATATATGCTTAACCATGGAACCTAGAAAAATATCTCTCTGTTTTATAAGCATCATTATCAGGTCAATGGTATGCTGAGAATGAGAAGTATCTCTACCAGGGATTTATGTTCACTAAGAACTCAAAAAGCACAGAATCTGCACCTGCTAGAAGATAATGTTGGGTTTGCAAAGGAAAACAAAGATTTCAACACAAAGCTAAATATATTTCTAAAATTGGGATATTTACTGAACTAAGTCAAGAGAATATTAAAATTTAAATAACTTCTTATAAAAAGCACTCACAGTCCAGAATATTAAGACACTGCAAGATACAAAGAACTTAAATTTATACTGGAAAACAATAGAAAAGATACTATATATCAGATTACAAAGGAAGGAAGGGTGGACCAGGCCCTGCCTGTTCTTACTATTCCTTCTGCCCACATACACGTCTTATACAAGTTTTCTATTTTTAATTGGGTTAAAAATTGCCTGAAAATCATCCCTGTGGTATTCTTATTATCAGTAACTCTAAGACCCACCAAGATGGCAGTAAGAACATAAAATGATTTTCTGGATCTTTATTTGCATATTACACTGTCCATACTGTCCCCAAATAACAACATGACCTTTCCTCATCTGCCCTTCTATCAACAATAGGACAATACAATCAATAAGAATCCTCAAAGCTGCCTTCTAAAGCCCATGGAAGTCAGTAACCACTCTGCCATGCTAAATAATCTTGACAAAAAACGATTAACCATTGAGAAAAACTAACAAGAACTTTCTCTCAAGGATTTTATCTTTTATACCGCTTTCTCTATCCTTCCCTTCTTATCTTGAACTAAAATACTCCCCATTTACTAAGGGAGGAGTGGGTCAAGGAAACATTCACATACTATACCTATTACTCACCTCTCAGAGGAACCTGAAGGGCGACTCAGTCCATGTATCAGCGAGCAGAGGCGTAACTAGGAATTTCTAGTACCTGAGTGAGTTCCAAGTTATGTTTCACCCCAGCCCACCTTTCTCTATGTAAAATTATAGAAAAAAATGTCAACACACACACACACATACACACACATACACGCCTTATTAAGTCAAGAACATTCATGGGAATCTATCATATGCAAATCTATTTAGTAAAAAACTGGCTATTTTGTTAGGTTTTGTCCCTGCTAGGTTCAGCGGCTCACACAACTAAACATTATTTTGTCATCATAGAAGAGAAGTTGAATATTCATATCAGTCCTCAACCAGTTAATATAATAATTAGCTGCCATCAGAAATTATCAGTAAACCTATAACAATCTCTAAGTTAGTAAGCATGGTACATAAAACCAATCACAAACTTGATCTCTTTCTCCTGTCTTTTCATATCCTACCTCAACCTCTTACTCCTGTCTTTTCATATCCTACCTCAACATCATCCACATGGAATTGTTTTCCAATTCATAAATATGCCATACTCTTTTATGATTCTAGGTCTTTGAAATATTGTTCATTTTCTTTGTGTGCTGTTTCCCCTCTAAGTCAATTGGCAACTCCTGAATATCTTTCAAAATCCAGTTCAAAAGTTCCCTTCTCTAGAAACCTCCTTCATTTTCTACATTTCCTTTCCCTGTCTGTGCTCTCCAGGACCTCTAGCTGTGCCTCTATTCTTGAGTTGAGTATCTTATGGATAGGGTTTGTTTGCATGCCTATCTCTCCAGCTATTCTGTGGATTTTTAGCAGTGCTTCATTGCTTGATCAGTGTCCAGCATGTGCAGTGGATGGTTGGTGAGGGAATGTGCTCACTGTGAAGGGAAAACCTATGCTTTTCCTCAAATGTCTCATAGTTTCATTTCAGATTTGTGAGTTTATGCATCCACTTTGGAGTTGCTGATATAAGTGTTCTCCATAAATTCAAATAATGCTGAAAGCTTTCATATTTATTCAGTAGGAAAAAAAAAATCTCCTTGGGGTTAGTGAAATTGTTGAGCTCCTAGGACTGAAGCTGAGAAGTCACAAAGAGGAGGAGGAATAGAAAGGAAGTGACTAAGAAGGACCGCAGACTAACTAGTTAGCTATTACCATCACAGAAGCCAGCAATGGCTGACTTTCATTATGCTGCCCAACACTAGAAATGATTCTTTGCCTGATTTTCCTGAGGTGACAGCGTGTGACTATCTGACTCTTGACAGGTAAGAGGCCGCCTCTTAGTCATTTGTTGCAATTATTTCTGGCACCATTCCTCTAAGGATTCTGTATTTCTCCTTCCTACTCATCAACATTGATTTCTTGTTGAATTCTACAGTCATTGTGGTTACAGGGCATAAGTGCCCTTTGCCCTTGGAAATTTCATAGTGTAGTTAACAAACATCTTGGCTAAAATGTTTTCATGTTACATTCTCTGACTTATTCTCAAAAAAAATTATCTGAAGGATAATAAATTAGAATAAAGAATTTAAAAAAGAAATATACTTTAAGCAAAAGCATTTAAAGTATAAGCTATAAATATTAATTAACTTTATATTCACAATAAAGACTTTAGCATTGGGTGTAAAGAGAATTTACTGGGAAAAAATACAATAATTGGAAAACCTTATTAAGAGTGTTTCAATAATCCATGCAACCAGCTTATGCTTGGCACATTACTATGTGTGTGTGTGGGGGGGAAATAACAGAAATTTCCTAACTTCTAACTATCTGTAATCTGCAGGAAATTCTCTAATTACAATGCAAAGGTAATCTATATGATAGGTCTCAATCTCACCTTACAAACTTACATGTACAAGAATTGTACTAATTATTTTCTATAATTATGCTTAATTTTTTTTACATCAAACCCCATCTTCCGGGTCAGTAGAAAATTGGCCTTGGTGATTGTGTTAGTCAGCTTTCAATTATTCTAACAAATACCTGAAATAATCCACTTACAAAGAGAAAAGTGTTATTTTGACTTATAGTTTTGGAGGTTTCAGTCCATAATCAATTGGCTCAATTGCCTTGAGTGTGGGCCAAAACAGCATACTATGGTGGCAACACATGGTAAAACAAAGCCAATCACCTTATGCTCTGGAATGAACAAGACAAAGAGGCGGGAGTCCCATTATCACTTTCAAGGTCATTCTTCAATAATTGGAGAACATTCCATCCCACTAGGCTCCAACTCCCAATAGTGCCATATGATGTGGAACAAGGCTTTAACACATGGGCCTTTGGTGGACATTTCAGATCCAAACTATAGCAGTGCTTCTTTGGTCTTTCCTCCCATCCTCTCACCTGTGTCATAGGAATGAGAAAGGAATGAAGGTGGAGAGGTTTGCCTCTTCTCATTCTTTGTTTTACCTATCTGCAGGATTCCTTGGGATCAGGGAGCTTTAACCACTCCTTGTCCTACAGGAGAAACAAGAAACATTTTTATAGTCACAGACTGCTTTCTCGAAGTTCCCCAGGCGCTGGATCTTCTTTGATGAGAAGCCTAGTTGTAGAGAGACAGAATGATTGAGTGTTTACAGGGACTGATTTGGGTTTCACTTGCACTCACATCCTGGTCATGCCATATTTATGTGACCTGGGGAAAAGATTTTTTTAAAAATTAAGCTTCATATCTTCATATTCATTTTTCCTAACTGATATGGTCATTGTGAGCACAAAATGAAATAATTTAATATGAAGTGCTGAGTGCAATACTTGCACATAGTAGGTGTTCAGTGAGAGTTAGCTGCTATGTGTATCATTGCTACCATTTTTACTATTATTATTACTGACACCATCATGCTTAGACAGAGTACATAGGTCCTCTCTGCTCTTAGGACCTCCAGATTTCTTTCTGTTCCTTTTTACCCAGGCCAAGGGAATCTTTGTCTTCTGAAAGAAAGGCCCTTTGTTCTCTACCACTTTCCCCTGAATTCTCCACCTCCAGTTGCATACCATTTTATCTTGATATTTTTCCTAGGGTCATATGTTAAAAATGTCCTCAATAGCTTTATGTTTTATTGTATTTTGTTTGTTCAGGAGGGAGGGGGGCTTCTTTTCCAAAAACAGCCCTAGGCAAAGAATAGAGAAACAACAGAAGAAAAAAAAAGCATTATTTTGTATCTCAAAAAATTATTTAAACTCAATGGTGCAAAGTGCTTTGCAAATATTAAAAAGGAACAAATTAACTCCCGCTAGGGAAAGAACAAGAAAGGAATAGGTGATCAAAACTATACCTACAGAATAACAGCAAGTTCACTGCAGACACAGGGGGCAGGGTCTGCTGGTCCATAGTCTACTGTGAGCTCTCCAAAGGAAAGGACAAATAGTAAATTTTTTTTCTCTAATCTATCCCTTCTTGCTGAGTGCCTGGCACCCTGTATACACTTAATAATTTTTGTTGGATAAATAACACAAGTTTCTAGAAGACAAAACTAGCATGCATTTTAAATCATTAGTCTTAAAAATGTTTAGATGTTCAAAGTTGTAATAACTGGACGAAAGCATAGCTTTAGAAGGAAAAGGCAGATAGAACAAGCAAGGGAGATTTTTAAATATAATAAAAATTAATCGTAGTAAGCTAGACATAGTGGCATGTGCCTGTATTTCTAGCTACTAGGGAGTCTGAGGCAGGAGGGTCTCACTTGAGTTCTGGAGTTGAAAGTCAACCTGGACAGCATAATGGGAATCTGTCTCAAAAATAAATAAATAAACAAACAAACAAGATGAACTCATTGGCTTATTAAAATGTTTAACTCTTTCTATATTGAAAGTATTGGTTTAAGCAGGGAGTAGTAATATCAGTTATAAATAATGGTGATATGGAATAATCTTAGACAAAAGAGAATTGTGTAGAGAACAAGTCAACACCTGTAGTCATCCAGAAAAGAAAAGTGAATCAATGGACAGAATTATCTGCTCCTGTGTAGCAGAATTATACATCCACACCCTTGGCCACATCCTTGTGGAGGAAGGACTAAGTGAATTTCCTGACCATTACATGGCGTTTGACCATCTGTCTTCCTTTGACTAATGGATGTTACTGGACATGACTCAAGCATAATTTTGAAATATGCATGTGTAGTTGGGGTGACCCTCTGAGCTCTGAGGATCTACTACGAGAAGATCATGCTTCAGTAGCCACTGATCTCCAGACTAGGCCCCAGAATGAGATCCTTGCTATAAGTGTGACCCAACATGCAGCAGCAGTTGAGAGCTGAGACTAGAAGCCAGCCCCCCATCCAGCTGAGGCTTGTCTAGTAAAAAAGGTGTTGTTCTAAGGTAGCCCTTAACATTCTGTTTTTATAGGGTACTCTAGATTGTGAAGCTTAGGATTCTTTAACTTGGTAGTCTCCTCTTCACATCATTGTCTCTGCCACTGACAATACTCACAAGACCCCTAAAGTGCCACTTTTAAAGTTATTTGGGGGCTGGAGGTATGGCTCTGTAGTACAGCATGTGCTTAACTTTTAGAAGGCCTTGAGTTCAATCCCCAGCACCAAAAGAAAAAGAAAAAAAAATGATATGAAAAAGTTCTACATTCTCAGTGGAAGTCCTCTGTTTTAAAAAAAAAAAGGATAGTATCAACCCATTGCTTCAGAAAAAGAACACACACAGAGACCCTGAGTAAAACACTCCAGTGTAAATGTTTTTAAATGGAAAGTTGAGAAAATTTTTTTAATATAATTATATTTTTAGAAAATGTCTTTTTTCACAAACTGGATTTAAGCCATACTATACGTATCAAATACTGTGTATTTGCAGAGTAATCTATTGCATTCAACGAATACTTGAGATATAAAGCAGAGATGGGATGGAAAGTTCCTACAGACTCAATCCTTCTTTCAAACTACAGCAAAGGATTTGGACTGGCTAAGCCAAGACACTCTGGTCTGGATTACTGCACTCAAATAAGGCATTGCTGAAGGAAAAAACACAAACAAACAAAAAGCCCTATTGGGCTATGGTGTTTTGATGTCTTTCCATGGCTCCTAAGACAAGATCACAACTCAACAGCTAGGTAGGGAGTTTTCCTTGAAGAATATATATATTCTCATTGTCAGTCATCCTGGATGTGTTCCAATCCAGGGAGGAAATGAGGATCCAGGGTCCTGGATTGTGTTGAACAGGAATCTTCACTTTGAACCTAGGAGTTTAGAAGAAGCTTCTAGCAGTGGATGTGTCAGGGCAATCCCAGTAGGAGATACCAGCCAACCTGAAGCTGAACCAGGAAGAGATCCCAGGTTCTGGGTACTCTAATAGTAGCCACTTTTATAGCAATAAGTTACTTTCTTTGTTGCACTTTCCTTCCATAAGGCCTGAACCTTTAATAGTCTAGCTAACATTTTAACCTTGTCTCAGTTGTGCTATGGGGAGTTAGAGAGGAGAAAAGCAAGAGTCAGGCTTGCTTCAGATCAGAAAGACAGTAGCAGTGGATGTCATTCTTAGAGGAAAACAGAGCTGAGTCCATATGGTTAGTGGTCTCATGAGGATGGCCAACAGCGGAGATGGCAATGTAATGAGGAGACCACCTGCTCCTGAACATATGGGAGGCAGTACCCGGGGAAACTCTCAAAAGCATAAGTCTAATTTCCAGTGATTAGGCTGGTAGAGACTCACACTATGACAGTTTTGGAATTAAAAGGAAGCACAATCTCATTTTGTAGTTACTAGCTGGTAAAGTATTGAATTATAGCAATTATTCAATTTATAACTAGATACTCTTTTCTAATTAACAAAATAATTTTTCTTTAAAATGTAAACTTAATGAAATCTTAGAAGAAAAAAATAAACTTACAATATAAAATATAAATTCTTAAAGATAAATATGTTCTTTCCTGGGGGAGGACTATATTTTTGTAAAGAACAAATAATTTGTTTGCCAAACTATCACTTACAGTGGACACATGGAGGGAATACAGATGACAAGGAGTTTTGTGAGGCCATTAGTAAGAAGTTACCTAGAACAGGATGCTTTTCTTAATGCCAGGAACATATTAATGAGACAAAGAAAATCAAATCTTTGGATTTGTAAACACACATTTGGCTTCTCTTTAAAGACTCTTTAAAGACTACTCTCCTAAAATTAAAGCATTATGTTCTGGACAAAAATGTATACTTTCAAAAATGTGAACATCATTTCTTGATTAATTATTTATAACCATTTCCCCAGCCAAGTTAATTTAAGAACCAGATTGGGGAAAAAAACAAGCTTCGTCTCTCTGTTTTGACAAAGAAGACATGTCTGTGGGTCTTAAATGAAGTTTAGGTATTAATCATCTTTAATAATATTTAAAGTAGTTGAAGTTTTAAAATGTTCTTTACCAAAAAGTCTTGACATTTTATTTATTCACCTGTAACTTTTATAAAATGGAAAGCCCAATTGCATTGATTTTTGTATGTGTGTGGTCCATTAGCATAGCTTGAACACTTACGTGAGTGAGGATCAGTTTCAGCACAAGGTGTGGCAAGAAAAGAGTATCCCTTCCATGAAGCCTTCAGGAGGAAAGGCGCTCACTGGGCACTCGGGCCATTGCACTCTTCTGCTGCTCCCTGGCAACAAAATGCATAGTAAATATTCAGGACCATCTCAAGTATCTCAAATAAAAGAATTATTTGGCAGTATATAAAATACAATGAGAAAATAGTTACAGTCTGGTAATTAATCTAGTCTTCTGATATAAACATCCATGTTTCTTGCACAATTATCACCAAAAAAAAGCCATTGAATCTTTTCAGTGTGCTTTAACATTATTCTTTAACTAACTCAAGCCCTCAACATATTAAAAACAGGACTGTCTTTTGTGGAGGGACAAGTGAAGACACCTCTCAGAAAATGGAGGAAAAGTTGTTAATTTATAATTTTAAATCCTTAAGTTTATGATACATTTTCTTTTGAGATTTAGCATTGCATTTTTGCTTTTATTCAAAAGCATTGTCTAGGGCTTTTTCTTTTATAAAAAAATAATTTTTATTTATAAAACTTATGAACCCATGCCAATTAGCAAATGTAGGACCTGGACAGAACAGTAAATGATAGGAAGTGGGGAAATTTAACTCACCAATAGTGCCTACACCCTTCTACCTAGATTAAATAATCAGCATCCTAGGAACCCTACTAAAAATAAAATAATTTTTTTATTTTAAATCTATTCTTGGTCTATCTAAACTGCATAAAAATGAAAACATTCTTCCTAGTATAGGACTTATTAAAATGTTCCTTCCCTGCTTTTTAAAAGGATACCTTTTTAAAGCATAATGGTATCATCATAAATAGAAACAGCTTGGAAGGAATATCAGCAAATGCCAGTTGAAAGAACAGTGCATAAAAATGAAGTGTGTTAAGACTGGAGACTTTTCTATTATTAATGAAGTGGAGTGCCATGAGGAAATGCAAGGAGAAAAGACTAAGAGCAAAGTCATGAATTAAATAGTGACTTAAAAGCACAAGAGTTCCTTAGCTCCCCAGCACATGACACCTACTACCAAAGTTTATTCAGTGGGGAATGATAAAGCTGTAGCATGGCTTCAAAGGAATACAGTCATTCAATGTGTAGAAAAATTATTGCAACGTCAGGGATGTTAGGGTAATATGAAGCACCTATTTCAGTTATTTTAACAGCTTATACACACACACACACACACACACAACAAAAAAAGTCTTATGCCTTCCTTGGCTCAAAACCCAGAAGGGCTCCTTTTCATGAACCTTTATATGATGTATATCTTCCTTACACCAAAAAAAAAAATGTTATTAAAAACACTCTGGTGTAGCAAGTTTAGATGGGATAAGCTATATAATATATATAATATATTATATATAGCTTATATAATATATAAGCTATATAAAATATATAACACTTTGATAACATTATAAAAATATTAATACTAACAAAAAAGTCTCAGAACATAGAGGAGGTTAATTCATACACATTGATCACTGTGTAAAACCCCAATAACCACTTATAGCTTTGGGTCCAAACTCTGTGATCCCCTTGTACTATTCCTGGAACAATGGCTTCAAAAAGCTCATAATGAAAGTAAAGTATTCTTCCTATGTCTTTATAAAAGAAAGGAAAAGAAATTTTAACTTTAATGAAGTTCATTTTTTTAAATATTTAATTTTTTTTAGTTGTTGTTGGACACAATGCCTTTATTTTATTTATTTTTATATGGTGCTGAGGATCAAACCCAGGGCTTTGCACTTGTGAGGTGAGCGCTCTGCCGCTGAGCCACAGCCACAGCCCCATGAAGTTCATTTTTATAGCCCCTTAATCTTCATTTCAGTACCTTGAATAAAACATACATGTCATATTCATTTCTCATTTCTAACAGCATAAAGTCCATCATGTACTTGGTTGTCATAAAAATTTACCAGGTGGAAAAATAAATGAAATACTTTCAAATGTCTAGAATATACCTGTTTATATATTACTTTGTATATAATGTAAAGATAAACATACTACCAAACACTTGAATTATCCACCTCAATGTGTCAAGTGACCAAAATCAAGAAATTGTGATTGTGGTGGCATACACCTGAAATCCCAGCGGCTCCGAAGGCCGAAACAGGGATTTCGAGTTCAAAGCCAACCTCAGCATTTCAAAGCCAGCCTCAGCAACAGTGAGGCACTAAGCAACTCAGCAAGATCCTATCTCTAAATAAAAAACTAAATAGGTGTGGGGATGTGGCTCAGTGGTTGAGTGCCCCTGAGTTCAAACACCAGTACCTACCCCCACACACAAAAAAAAGGAAAAGTAATTGTGATTTATTTCATTCTCTTGGAGTCTACAAAGAGTTTTTGTAACTCAACTAATATGTATAGCCAGACTTCTTCATTAGGGGTGGGTATTACCGCCTCCAGGTACTAATAGTTAATAAGTTTTCTTTGCAAATTGTCAAGAAATGAAAACTGCAGAGTCTTAGGACAGGTGTGGTTAATGGTTGAGTAAAATAAGTGTAAAACAAAACAAAACATTGATTCACTATAACTTACTAACTGATCATTATAACTTCTGAACACATTTATTTTTAGAGGTGTCCGTTTTATCTGTCTTATATTCACTGAATCTTCTGCCAAATGGTCACTCCAGTATTCAAGACAACTTTTCAGACTATTAGAGACCTTCAAAAATAAAACTGACTTCCTGCAGATGCACAAACACACTTCTATTGCCACCTGTCTCTATTGGTTATCCTAACACATGCTTTCTCTCCATAAAATGCAATAGTAGTCGGCTGGGATTGTGGTTCAGCAGTAGAGCATTCACCTAACACGTGTGAGGCCCTGGGCTCGATCCTCAGCACCATATACAAATAAATTAAATAAAGGTATTGTGTCCACCTACAATTAAAATTTTTTTTAAAAAATGCAGTAATAGTAGTAAGAGTAATAATATAATGAAATAGTTATAGCAAACAAATCAAAGGCACATTTAAATAGTATAATTTGAAAAGGTTTTATTTGCAAAGAGATTGTTCAAAATGGTGTGGATGAAGCTTGTATTTGAATGATGAATCATCAAGAACCCAGGGCCATTAGCTACCAGTCAGCCATCACCATAAGCATGAAGGGATGAAAAAAAAGAGGAGTTATTGGAAGCCAAAAGGAAAGCAGAGTAAGTCCATCAGGCTGCCTTAAGAGAAAGAACTCAAGACTTTCTGTGGAAGGAACCTACCCAGCCTGAGGAAACCTCACAGGAAGGAAAGCAGAACAAGAAATGCTCTGACCTTTATCTCTTCTCTCCCATCTTCTATGGAAGTTCCCATTGGCAAAACCCAACCAGAACACTGGGAGAGCTGCAATCTACTGATATGATGGAAACAAGTCAGCCCTGGGAGAGAAAAGGCAGGGTGATGGAGAAAGGTAGCAAGTGGATTTGTAGGAGAAAAGGAAGTTATCTGGCATGGCAACATTGAAAGGAGACTGAGTAGGGGCAGAAAACATCACTGATTTGTGACAATGAATGCTCCATAGAAGGCTGTTATCTCCTCTTGGCAGATGGCTTTGGGTATGAATGACCCTGGAAATAATGGGATTCTACTCCCAGGGAACTCAACAAATACCCATTGATCAGCAGCTACTATGTGTCAAGAACCATTCTAAATACTAGGGATTAGAACATGAACAAATGATGGGCACTGTCCTAAAAAGGTCATAGTGCAGGAAGGAATTAGGTCCACAAACAGGCAATTAAAAACCCAATGTAAAAAGTAAAGTCAATGAAAATATGAACTCCTTAGGGGCATAGGCTGTGTCATATTCTTTTTTGTATCACTAGCAAAATGCCTAAGACATTTTGTAAGGACCAAATAAATGTTATATAAATGAAAGGCATAGAAATTGTACATGTCGGTAAACTCAGAAGAGCCAATTCTGCTCTCTAGAAAATAAATCTCTTGCAGATTTCTGATATGTGAAAAATTTTTATCTTTTTATCTCTTCACTTAAACCATTTTTTATTGCTTACTAAAAATATTAAGAGTTTCCTTTCATTTTCTATATTTTCAGTGAAGCACACCTTCAATCTGATATAAAACATCAATTCTCAGTTAAAACCTTCTCACTTTCTTAGGTCCCTGTTTTTTGCCAGCCACCTATGAATACACACACATTTTTAAACATGTATGTTTTAAAATATATAAAATATTTTATTAGATAATAAGGAAGGCATATCGACTCACTGGGAAAAAAACAGTCTATCCAAATGTAGTGAAACAATTAGCTTTCAACTTTGGCATAAAAGTTAAAACCTGACCAATGCCTTATATTACAATAATTTTGGTTTAAAACTTTAAATAAAAATGATAAATGTATAAGAACAAAATTAGTAAATTACTTACATTCATCCTGAGATAGGGAAAATTGGGCACCGAAAAAGGTTACTGTGAACAAAGACAGAAAATAAATGGCAAGAAGAAAAATATTTGCAAAATACATGTCAAAGTCATAATGACTGGGCTTAGAAGGCAGATGTGAAAATAATGTCTACCAAAACTGTAAGTAAATCAACAGGTACAAACTGTTTTTCTCCAATGTTATAATCTAATAATGAATGGAAAACTTAAGTTTTAACATTATAACAATGCTGACAAAAATGTGAAAAATTTGAGGACATGTACAGCTTTATGTAGAATGTTTCAAAGTCAGTAAGATAAAGCAATTAAAAACTAAGTAAAAGCCATGAGTAAACAATTAACAAAAAATAAGGGAACAACAAACATTTTAAAAATTTACTTTTGTTTGCATTCTCTGGAGATCAGACAGGGCCACATGCATGCTAGGCAAGTATACCACCACTGAGTCACACTCTCAGTCCAAAAGTTTATGTTTTTAATATAGTATACTGTCACTGACTAATTTAGGATGAAATGTTGGAAAACTGGCACTCACATTTTTTTTTTGGGCAATACAAATTTCTTCAGAATTTTCATGTGACATTCTCACACTTGTAAATAAAAAAAAATCATTATATTGTCATATAGAAGGCAGATTTTTTTAAATGAAACGTCATAGAAACACATGGTTATTAGATGATATGAAAGAATTATTGTTAATTTGTTAGATTGATATTTAAATTTTGCTTTGTCTTGTAAAACAGTTCTTACCCTTTAGTGGTACGTATTGAAGCATCTATGGATGAAATAATAGGTCATATGGATTTGTTTTAAAATAATTCAGCACAGGAGGATTAGGAAAAGTCATAGATAAAACAAGATGGCCAACAATTAATATTATTGATGTGCATATGGGGAGTCACTAAACAGGTTTTTAAATCTTTTTACATATTGAAAATTTTCCCATAATAAAGATATTTTAAACAAAAATATTTTTTGTACTGTGGATTGAACCCAGGGAATTGTGCATGCTAGGCACACATCCTACCACTAAGCTACACTCCCATCTCTGTTTTACAGTTTTTATATTCCTTCTTTCACACCAGTTTTCAATTCAGGAGTATCAGACATAGTCTATGTTCATTGTCTGAGATTCATTTTTTTATCATAATTTATTTTTTATTTGTTCTCTTTCTTCCTGCTGGGTACACATTAATATTAAGTCTTCATTTTAACTAATCACAATTACACATTATTAAATAAATACAACATTTGGTACCACCATACTTTCATCTAAAACCAAAAAGAAGCATAGAACATGGTTTTTAAAAAATTTTAAGGTACTTTAATAACTCAAGAAGACACCATTGTCATAAGGCCTATAGGAAGTAATGTTACAACACACCTGCTGTAGTTTGAATATAGGGAGTGTCTCCCAAAGGTCCATGTGTAGATTCCCAGGATGGCTGCTACTGGGAGAAGCTGTGAACCATTAGAAGATAAAGCCTAGTGGAAGGTTGCTGGACCATTGAGGACATGCTCCCAAGAAGGATTGTGGGACCCTGACCAATCTGTCTCATTCTAGAAGTAAGCAGTTTGTTCCACCATGTGCTCTCACCATGATGTGTCTTTCTTACCAGAGGTCCAAAGAAATGGGGTTAACTAGATCATGGATTGTGACCTCCAGAAACATAAGCCAAAATAAAACTAATGTATTTTCTCTTATAAATTAAATGCCTCAGGTACTTCATTATAAAAAATGATATACTAAGAATCTGAGCAGGGAGGGTAGTGGCTCACACCTGTAGTCACAGCAACTGAGGAGGCTGAGGCAGGAAGATTACAAATTCAAGGCCAGAAACTTAGTGAGGGCCTAAGGAAATTAGTGAGAACCTGTCTCAAAAAATGAAAAGGGTTAGGGATGTAGCTCAGTGGTAATGCACCCCTGGCTTCAATCCCCAATTTTAAAAAAAAAAAAAAGAATTCTGAGAGCCTTCGTTACTATCATCACAACATTCACAACACTGTACTAGGCATTTTGCATTCATGATCACTGATCCTCATACCAGACTCTGCTGGCTTATGTTAGTAAAGTGGATGAAATTGAGACCCAGAGAAAGGTTAATTAAATAGTTCAAAGCCCCACACCTGGATTCAAATCCTATTTCTATCTCATGCCAAAGCTTGTATTCTTTTGATTCCACCACACCACATTTATGGACAGAGCACATTATACAAATTGTTGGGGAGTGACAGGGGAAAATAGTGGGGGCAGGAAGATATAAGATACGGCAACCTTAAAGGGAGAATAAATATTCATTTCAGCTGTGGCAGATATTGTTATTCTAGTCTTTCAGTAGTAAATGTGCACTAAAGGGATTTATAACAACGTTTTAAATTTACAAAGGCATTTCTCTTGCCATTTGCTGCATACCAATGTGTACTTGTATGATTCATGCATTCAGAGGTTATTAATACTAGAAGGAACAATAGAACTCGTGTAACAGAATCTTTCCCTTCCCTCTACAAATAAAAAGGGAATAAATGAACATTGTGAAGTGCTCCTTCATTGATAAATTCAACTGTTATTGCTATTCATGATACCAAAAATGTTTGAGTGTAAATTTGATTTTGTTTGAAAACTCCAAAAGTAGTTTACATATCTATGCACTGAAAGTAGTGAATATCACAGATAATCAAGTGAATAGGTTACAGTGGAAGAGAGCACAAGACACTGAACTGGAACTAGAAGGCTGAGGCTTTGGTTTTACTTGAGCTTCTAACAAATTGCTTGACACTGAACATTTCAACTCTTGAATAACTCAGGAACAAATGGAAGTAATTGAGACATCTTCCCTTTTCTTGGGCTCTATAAAGGGAAACCAGTATCAAGTTGTACTGTTTAAAATTCTCCTCCTTTGCTTGCAGACAAGAGGGTGTTTGTTTTCCCAAAATAAATCTACAGGTACCTAATATATTTTCCCCAATATTCTTGTTTAGTGAATTGAATAGATACATGAGGAAAAGTCATAGTAATCCCAAGCAAAGAGAAAAGTGCTCAGTTATCCAGTCTTTCCCCATAAACAGACATTTGTAGCCCAGTTAACACAGCACCACTAACCAAGTAGACAAGGGACCTGAAATTCTGAGATTGTAGGTAACTGAGACAAACACATTGATTTCTTTAAGAAATGGGCTACACTAAAAAGAAATTTTATACTACAATATTTTCTGTATATCCCTAACCAGATTTTTAAAAAATTAACTCCATTTGCTATTTTTTAAACTTAATATTTGGTTCTATTATTTATAAGAAAGTGATATCATTTCAATCATAAATATTCTAAATCTAATTTTTCTTTTTATCTAATTCAACTAAATCTAAAAAGTGGCTAATAAAAAAACACTCAAACTCCTGAATCATGTAGTAAATGAGGGATTATATCATTAACTACCATTTAAAAAAATTTTTTCAAATATCCTCCATATAAAAATATGTGCTATTTTAGAGTGACATCACAAGTGGCAGGTACCACTATAATCCGGAACTGGCATTTGCAAATCCATGACAGTGGTACTATTACTCCCACTTGCCAAATTGGAGAAAACTTTTATACTTGTTCATTAATTTGTGCTTCATTCTTTGACTCAAATAATATGGATGATAACATAGCTGACAAGGAAAAAGGTAATGATGACTATTTTACTAAATAGTGATAGGCCTTATTTTGAGGGAGAAAAAGATAGCACTATTGTAGAACTTATTTCTTCTAGGGCATTGCATTTTTCCTTTATTTGGAGATCCTGTCCTACTTTAAGTTGTGTGTGTGTGTGTGTGTGTGTGTGTGTGTGTGTATTTTAACCAAATCATGCTTTCAGACATGTTGCAGATAACCATATCTAGAAGTCATGTGATTGTTTTATCCATCTGATCTTATATATTAGTATTATTCACATGCCTTTAGAGGACTTATTTTCTGAGTTTGCAGTCAGCATTTAGATTGATCCTTAGAAAATAAGGTCAAGCTTTAAGGAATCTCTGTTAAGGCAAATAAATATAAGGAAGTTAAAATATGTTTGGTTTGTAGGTAAGCTCTTATAGCAGGCATTTTGAGGTGTTCACTGAATTGGTAAATGTAGAAGTTCCATGGGCCATATTTCTATATTCTAATATATATATATATATATATATATATATATATATATATATATATATATATATATTTTTTTTTTTTTTTTAAATTTACTAAGACTTGAATATAACATGTGCTAACTGAGCAATAGCAATGTTGGAAAACCTGGTACCACCATGGATATCTGGTATAAACCTGGTATCACCATGGATATATGGTATGAAAGAAATGAAAGAAGAGGGGGAAAAATGGTTGGGAAGAGAAGATACAGAAGTAATGGAGACCAAAAAACAGGAGCAAGGGTAGCAAAAAGTACTGAAAAGGGTATAGTTGCTGATCTCTCCCCTTCTCTTGCTGGTTTCTTGGTCTGTCAGCCGTCCTCAGCCAGCTCCTGGGGGTGAAAGGGCTCCAAGAGCTTTGCTGTCTGGCAGATTTTCTTCCATAAGTGGTGGCTCTAGAATCCCCCAGAAACAAGTGTGGTCTTTTATTGTAAGGCATGATGGCTGCAAAAGTGGTTCCCATATTCCCAAGGCCAAAGCAGTCCTTTATACTGAGTTCCTCCAGACTCCAAGATGGGCCAAGACCTCCTTTGAGATGCCACTACTGGGCCCAAGACCATCCACCAGCTGGTGCTGGAGCACTTCCTTACCTTCTGGTGCTAGAGCACTTCCTTACCTTCTTTCCCAAGCCAAGCCTAGTGCAGCCCAGTGAGAAGGTCAAGGAGACCTTGGTTATTACGAAGGATGTGAGGTCAACCCTTCAGAACAGAGTGCAATCTCGTCCCTCCGTGAAGCTTCTGCCCAGAAAAGAGTCCAGCAGAAACAGGAGACTGTGTCTCTGTGTTTCAAAGCTGACTCTGAGGATCTGGTGGTCTTTGAGGATTTGAATGTATTTCACTCCCAAGAGGAATGTGTAAGCATGGATCCTGCTCAATGGCCCACATCAGAGAAGGACAATGTTGGAGAGATGATGTTCCTAAGGCTGTTTGCATCTGAAGATGAAGTTGAGCAG